TGGTGGCTGTACCAATCTATATTCCCAGCAACAGTGTAGAAGCGTTCCCTTTTCTCCACACCCTCTCGAGCATTTGTTATTTGTAGACTTTTTAATGATGGCCATTCTGACTGGTGTGAGGTGATACCTCACTGTGGTTTTGATTTGCATTTCTCTAATGATTAGTGATGTTGGGCATCTTTTCATGTGTCTACTGGCCATCTGTAAGGACATTATCATTTTATAGGTTAAGAGACTGAAGTTGAAGGAAGGAAGCAACTTTGCCTAAGGTACCTGGCTTGTGAGGGATATAGCCATTTGCTGAGCTATGCATATCTACAAAGGCTCATTTATTCCACATGTCACGTGTCCTGAATGCTTACCTCTCAGGCTAATCTAAGAACATAAAATGAACTAGACATACAGCAGTGTCCCCTTGAGACGGTCAGTCAGTAGGAGACAGACACAGAAACAGATCATCATAAAACCATGGGGCAAGAATAGCACTGGAGATTTTGGAAGCTTCAGGGAGGCATACCTAATACAGTAAAAGGTGAGGGGGGTTGGTGCTGGCAATCAGGAAGGTCTTCTTGGAGGAGGTGACACCTATACTGAATCTTAAACAGATTAGAATAAGCAAGTCCTAGCCTTATACAATCTCATTATCACTGTGAGGATGAGATAATGATATAATATTTATATGTGTAATATATGATAAGTAATTAAGAAATGATGCGATGATGGAGCTAAGGCAGTGACTCAGGGAGATGACCCGTAGGAAATATAGCATTGTTACTTTTTGCTAAGAAACAAAAAGTTGTAAAGACTCTCATACATACATTTTCTGTCTCTGTCTCTGTCTGTCCACGTGGTCCTGTAACTGGGCCACCTCTTGACAGTTAAGCTCTACCTATCAAGGCTGCCGGCTTTCCTCCCACACATCACCTCCCCTTGGATTACAAATTTCCTGTTGTGATCCTGTACTCTTCAGAACTCTCCTGGATATTCAGTTTAACCCTGTTTCAGTGGTATAAATAAGTAGAGGGAATTGGAACAAGTTTCCAGGCCTCACATGTTACTAAGGTTTTCTTTGGTTCTATGACTTAATTCATGTGTCTCTTAATCTGTTTGTGACCATTTTTGGGGTGAGTGGGATGAAAGGAACGGGTTAGAGGTTGAATGCTTTATGTATACTTGTCCCCAAAGCCCCCAAAGCTAGGCATTGCACAACTTCTCCCCCTTAGTAAAGACTGTGCCCCCTCCCACAAAATATTCCATCTCCATTCTCATGTCAGCACTGTTTAGAAAATTAACCCAATATTTACCAAGACTGCATGGTCACGTCAGAGTCCAAAAAAACATCACTGTCATTTAAAAAAACCCTCAGAATCTTAAGTGATCTTTCTTCACAGATCCTTTACCCTTCTCAAGACTATACAAACCCATTTGACCTTGTCAGAGCGACCTTCATCCCTTCTCACTTGAAATAACCTCCTACCTGGTCTTCTCGCTCACGCTCGCTTCAAGACTCTCTAGCCAGGGCTTACAAACAGATGGATGAAGACGTAGTTTTTTTGGCCTGCATAGTGTCGGCCAGCTCCAAAATTCAGGGGATGTCATAGAAAAATGAAGATTTCCCATGTCCTTTAAAAATGGGAAACCTGGCAATCCTGAGTCCTGTTCCCACATGGTCATAGAGTCAAAGGGACCCTTTAAATAGGGTCCTTCGCTCTAGTTCTCTGAAATCTTCATCACTCTCAAGGTGCCCCTGACCTGAGACCAAGTGACACTTACGTGTCTCATCATGACTGCAGTTTTTCTTACACCTGGATCTCTTCATTCATTTATATATCCTGCCTAGAACCTGTAGGTATGTGAGTTTTCCATACTCTTCTGCCTTACATGATCTTTCTAAAATTTGGACCCGATCATGCCACTTCTCATATTAAAATTTTTTAGTGCCCTCATTCCCCACCTCTTTATCAGTGGATGAAGCTACAACTTCTAGCTTGGCTGGGTTCTTTTCAATCTGCCTCTTTGTTCCCTATAACCCTTCCCTACCTTTACCCCTACCCTTGCTCATGCCCGCTTCCCCCAAACTTTATACTCCAGCCATACTGAATTCTAGCTATAGCAATGATTCTCACCTCTGTGCATTTGCAGAGGCTGTTCCTACTGCCTGGAATGTCCTTCCTTCTCTCTCAACCTCCTCAATTTTGAAGAGTCAACCTTTTCAAGTGCCTTTTCCCACAAGAAACCCCCTAACACATTTCCCAAACTGAATACACACCACTATTGTAGCGCTCTCATAATATACTACTCTTGTAATATAACGGTTGGCTGTCTCTTTCTCCTATACTATACACTATGAAATCTTGCTGGAATTAGAACATGTCAGTTCTGACTTTGAAACTCTACCGCTGGTGTAGGAAAGAGTCTGGGCATGGAAGTCAGGTAGCCCTGAATTGATATCTCAGCTTTACCACTTACTAAACTTGACAAGTTCCTTAATCCCTCTGTTTCTCAGTTTCCATATCTATAAATTGAGACTAATAATTCCCACTTTATGAGATTATTATGAGGATTAGAGATATTTTGTATAAAATGCCTAGCACAGTGGCTGGTACATAGCAGGCACTCAATAACTGGCAGTTGCTATCACAAATAAATGAATCAGGACAAAATACAGCAGACTTAAAAGATAGCCCAACTAAAGTGTGCTTGGGGGCTTCCCTGGTGGCACAGTAGTTAAGAATCTGCCTGCCAATGCAAGGGCCACAGGTTCGAGCCCTAGTCCAGGAAGATCCCACATCCTGCGGAGCAACTAAGCCCGTGCACTACAACTACTGAGCCCGTGAGACACAACTACTGAGCCCATGTGCCACAACTCCTGAAGCTTGAGCGCCTATAGCCCATGTTCTGCAGCAAGAGAAGGCGCTGCAATGAGAAGCCCGTGCACTGCAACAAAGAGTAGCCCCCGCTCGCCACAACTAGAGGAAGCCCATGCACAGCAACAAAGACCCAGTGCAGCCAAAAATAAATAAATGCATTAAATAAATTTAAAAAAATAAAATGTGCTTGGGTGGACCAAAGTGAAAGCAGTGAAAAGAAGGAAAGGTTATATAGACACAGAGTATACACATAGTATCTAGGCAATTAAGACAGTGCAGAAGGTGCTTTTAGTTTGATTTTTTCCCCTAAACACCTGACAGCTTTTTAAAAAATTGAGATATAACTGACATATAACTATCTTAGTTTCAGATGTACAGCATAATGATAATGAGTCGATATTAGTTTATATATTTGATATTTGTATGCAAAATTATCACCACAGTAGGTCTAGCTAACATCCATCACCATGCATAGTTAAAAAAAAACGTTTTTCTTGTCATGAGAACTTTTAAGATCTACTCTCTTAGCAACTTTCAAATATATAATACAGTATTATTAACTATAGTCACCATGCTATATATTACATACCCAGGACTTATTTTCTTGACAGCTTTTTTTAAAAAAAGATTTATTTATCATTTATTTATTTATTTTATTTATTTTTGGCTGCATAGGGTCTTAGTTGCAGCACGTGGGATCTTCGTTGAGGCCCACGGGCTCTTCTCTAGTTGTGGCACTCAGGATCCAGGGTTCATGGGCTCTGTAGTTGTGGTGCATAGCTTCCAGAGCGCATGGGCTCTGTAGTCTGCAGCACTCGGGCTCTTTAGCTGAGGTGCGCAAGCTCAGTAGTTGTGGCGCCTGGGCTTAGTTGCTCTGCGGCATATGGGATCATATTTCCCTGACCAGGGATCAAACCTGTGCCCCCTGCATTGTAAGGAGGATTCTTTACCACTGGACCACCAGGGAAGTCCCATCTTGACAGCTTTTAATGGAAGACTTATTTAATTATCATCTGGCAGAGGTCTGCAAATGATAGGCAGCTTTGTATATAGAATAATGAATATGATATAAGATAATCTTAGCTAATTACTGCTTACTTGCAAATGTCATACAACTGACTTCTTGAAGGCGTATGTGAGGTTTTGTTTTGTTTTCGCATGTGTGAATGTTTGTGGGTGGGCAAGCATGTGTACAGACCTATACCATGGGAACCCTATAGACAGTGGCTCAGTGAATGGTCAACATGGCTGGATCCCCATGTAGCTGTACCAGTGTCCCATAGCATCCTGGTTATAGCTTGTATTTATGTCCAAACTGCAAGCTCCTTTCCATATAGTCTGGCTGTTGAGCCACATAGAGACCAGGGCTGGTCCCTTGGTGTAAGTTGTACTTTCAAAGCAGTCTATAACAGCAGTGTCCCAGAGAACTTTCTGTGATGATGGAAACATTCTATTCTGCTTTGTCCAGTATGAGACCAATGGCTATGAAACATTTGGAATGTGGTTGAATTTTTAATTTTATTTAATTTTAACTAATTTTAATTTAAATAGCTACCTGTGGCAACTGTATTGGTTAACGCTGGTAAATAATCTCCTATGTGTCATCTCTATGTGCTTTTCCAGATCATAGTCAACTGATGGATTCTGGATGATACTTTTGCATGGTACTTATATCTGGAGTTGGAAGACTTTCTTAATAGTCTAATATCACCTTCTAAATAAAGTAAAAAAATATTTGTTGAGCATCTGGTGCTTGGCAATATCGCTGGAGTTATGGAGAATATGAAGTCCCTACCTTTGTGTTGTTACTATCTAACAAGGAAATGGATAAGGAAAGATGGAGCATTAAAATAGAGAAATAGACTACACAGCCTTGGGCCTGGCTCCTCTAAACATGAGTATGAAATCCGTTTTTAACACAATCCTGCTTCACTAGATGGAAGCAATTGTACAGTACACTATAAATGTAGAGGGGAGGACTTGGACATGTAATTAAATCTATGGGCCATAAAAAATCTGTTCAGTAGTTCTAAGAGTTTAGTTTAGGATCACTGACGAACCTTGGTGGTGTTCACTGATGGTGTCCACAATAATAATAGCCAAGTGGAAAGCCGAGCTTGCAAAGAAATTTACTTGTTATTTATTTAGTTATTTTGCTGGTGTTATGCCAAGAAGACTCTGCTGAATAAACTTTATTATTACAACCTCTGCTTGATTTTTTGATAACTCTCTCTTACAATCAAAAATCCTTCAGTTCAAGTCAGGGTTGCAGTATAGTTCACACATTTTTAGAGGATATTTTCATTTCGGAGCCCCCATCTTGTTCCCCAGTGCAGTGCCAGGCTCTCGGTGAATGTTTTGGGATTGTTTGTTTGTTTGTTTTTTGGCTGCACTGCACAGCTTGCAGGCTTGTGGGATCTTAGTTCCCTGACCAGGGATTGAACCCGGGCCCTTGGCAGTGAGAGCATGGAGTCCTAACTACCGGACCGCCAGGGAATTCCCTCTTGGTGTTGATGGAAGACACGGCGCAGGTGCTGGAAAAGTCAAGTTCCTCTCCTTGCCCTCAAGGAACTTAGACTAACTTCGAGACAGATAATTATGTCGAAAGTAGAAGGTGAGAGTTTATGAGATAATAATCCCTTTAGTCTTTCATCTCATTCTTGGCTGTTAGGCTCAGGATGGTCTAAATATTTTCTTCACCTTTTCTTATTAGGTACTGTGATACTGGCCAGTCACCAGTAGCGTGTGACAGTGGGCACTTTCTATAAACTCCTCATTGCTCAACCTGCCTCGGTATAAGTTTTGGTAAGTGTTAATTAGTCTTAACCTGGTAAATATTTTAGTTATCAGAAAAGCCCTGATATCTTACTATTAACTACATTATTCTAGTTTTCCTGCAGCTTTCTAATGGGCACATCTTATTCTACAGAAGCTATATAATTTATGTGAAGACAGAGATTCATAACATCAAAGATGAGATGATTCAAACAGTAACCATTTACTTTATTTATTGCCACAGAAATAAAGTTTATTGGAAAACCCATCAAGAAATTATTTTTCCTCTATGAAAATACTCAATATAAGGAATGGGATCTAGGAAGCAACATGACCAACAAAATACGGTCTGGGGAATTCCCTGGAGGTCCAGTGATTATGACTTTACCCTCTCACTGCTGAGGGCCTGGGTTCTATCCCTGGTCGGGAAACTAAAATCCCACAAGCTGTGCAGACAGAAAAAACAAACAAACAGTCTGAGGTCTTATAGATATCAATACTTTTGATAATAGATGACATTCACCTGCCCAAATGAACCAAATGGTTAGCCAAATAACCATTAAAATTTCTTGATTTTCTTTCCATTAAGATGAAAGGTAGGTTGTGCATATCTAGGCCATCTGGTCTGCCTCAATGTCTGATAAACTACTGAGGCAAGTGAATGCTGAATAGATAGCTTCAGTGTTATCTCCAGGCACTGAGCGAGGCAGTCATCGGTCAGCGGCAGCTTGGGATGCAGAGCTCACAGCAGGGCCGAGTGAAGGTTGTGAGGCTGAGGGTCTCCAGGCCTAGGGTAGGCTGGGATGAGTTGAGCACGAAGCAGGCGGGCACACAGGGCCGAGGAATGCGGCACGGTGGGGGACAGCTGTCATAGCAGGTTGGCTCCGGTAACTAAACCGTGTGTGGGCAGATGCTGGGCAGGCAGACTCCACGTCGGCAGCATTTTTCAGATGAGCAGGTGGTGGTGGCAGGGCCGGTGTGGACACTGCGGCAGTAACGGGAAGCACAGCAAGCCATGGCATTGGGACTCTGGTTTGCTTTTGGAGAAATCATTTACTTTAAACCTTTTAGCCTGTTGTGGTATCCAAGTCTAAAGTAAATGGGAGTATTTTGTACCATTTAAAATTCAAAAACTGTAATACACTAGTTCAAATTTCATGTCTACTACTTAATTATAAAATGCTTAGAGACTCTAATGCAAAGTTTTGAATGTAACAAGTAAAAACCTGAATATGAATAGCCAATATTTCAAAGTTCAACAGTGCTCCTCCATTGACAGTCTGGAGTCAGCAAAGAGGAAACTCATAGAAGGTTTTCCCTGGAGAGGCTCTACAAATCTTCTAGTCTGCTCTGCTTCATTTATAGATGAGAAAACGAACATCCAGAGATGGTGCAATTTGCCAAAGGTCACACAGCTGGTTACAGTGACAGTGCCAGGCCTAGCAGTGAAGCCTGCACTCTCCTATCCAGACTTCATTTCACTTTTTCCCAGACTGACATCTCACCATGAACAATTCACTGACAATTTACAAAGTATATATAGTTATAATTTCCTAAATAAGATTTAACAATCCAACTCTAGATTTTCTTAAGTTCATTAAATTGCTCGATATAGCTAATGAAGACTAATATATACTGAGCTCTTACTGTGCTTCCAGCCCTGTACTCAGAGTTTACATTATCTCGCTGAATTTTCCCAACAACCTCATGAGGCAGGCGTCATTTTAGACATGAGTACTCTCAGGTATAGAGAGATAAATAGATTGCGCAAGATCACACAGCCACTATGTGGTCTAGCTGGGACTGCAACCCAGTTCTGTCTGATTTTTAACCTTGTACTTTTAACCAGAATTTGAAACATCCTCCCTTCTGATTGTGCTTTCCTGTTAGTCTATATGAAAGTGTACTTTTAATACTTAATAATTTGGAGGTACTCGTGACTTCTCATATTTTCGTAAGAAGATGGGATAATGTATCTCAGCGTGTTTCATGCTTCCTTTATTAAATTGGGATTGATTGTGACCGCCAGGGAATTCCCTCTTGGTGGGAAAATAATGGAAAATAATGAACCGATGGAATACCATCTTGAGCCCATTGAATTTAGCATTCTTGTCAGTTCCTGTCACTTCACTACTAACAACCCTTCAGTTTCTTCCTTCTCACTGGAGGCAAAAGCCAAAGTCCTTAAAAAAACACTGGCAAGGCTGCTGGCAATCTGTATCTCCCCTCCTCTCCCTAACCTGCCCGATCTCCCTGCCTATCTTTCACCTCAGGCCTACTTTTTGTTCCCTCCACCTCAAATGTTACCTTACTTCTTAGGCTTCCCTGACCACCCCATTTATAACTGAAAATATCCCATGACTGCAGCACACCCTGCCCCTCTCCTGTTTTACATTGCCCTGCAATACTTGTTACCGTCTCTATTTTATTTATTGGCTAACTCTACGAGAATGAAGGCATAATTACATAGTTCACTGCTGTATTCCTAGCGCTTGTCTTAGAGGTGCTAAAAAATATTTGCTGAGTGAATTATTGTGACAAACTACAGATTCAGGTATGTGCCTTTGCTTCAACCTCAAAATGTGAGCTATATATTCTGAGCACCCTAACTCTCTAATGCCCTGTCATAGGTCTATTACCCATGGGTAATTCACTAATCATTTTTTGCTATTGAGAATTAATTTTCCCCCTTTTCCACTCTGTATTCTTGGTAGTCTCCAGGATTTCAAAAAGGGGGGATTTCAAGTTCCTTATAGGTTCCTCAGCAATTTAGAGAGAGTGATCTGTACTTTTACTGGTCTCCGTAGAACAGGACTATCATAACAGCATTAAAAGCATAAGAAGAAAAAACAACTATTAAAATGAAGTCACTATTTGTACTTTCAAGTGGTAAAATAAAATGTTAAATGGTAGATTTCACCTGTTTGTAAAAAGGCCAAACAGTTAAGATGATGGCTGTTTGAGTATTTACAAAAACTGTTTCTCAGTTAAATGTTGTCTAAGAAGGCCCAGTGTAATGAAAGAACCCTGGGGTGGGGGGAGGACCTCAGCTTCCTGGGCCATAAAATGAGCAGACTGAAGATGATCTCCAGGTTACAAAGGTCTTGGAGGCAAAGCCATGGAATTTTCTCATGCCCATCTAAAGTTATATTTCATGTTTATTATTACAACTGATTTAAGAACAATTGTTATAAATCGGTATTTAGATATACATTTTTCATAGGCTTTTTCCAGTTAAATAGAAATTGTTTTCATATCACTAATACTTAAAATTGTAAATCATATCTAAGGGCACATAAACTTAAATGACCATCATAATAACTATATTTAACTCTGATTCATTAGGGGACTAATTATCCAGCTTGTGAACATTTAAGCCCGCTGTAGTTCTCTTCCTATTTTGAACAAGGGCAAAGAATTTGAAAAGCTCAAATTCCAGTTTGTCACCTGTTTATAAGCTCCAAGGACATTACAACCAAGGGCTAAAATGAGTTTTTGGCACCATTCAGAAGTTCCTATTTTGGGTGCTATCCCTTCCACCTTCATTAACTTGAACTGAGAATTACTAGTACCATACCTAATTCATTAATTTCAACTCAAATCATTTCACAAATGTTAAACTTTCATCTTTATATATGACTGCATGGTAAAATACATGATTTTTAAAAGCTGTTGAAAAGAACTTTAAAAATAAAATTTATTAATCAGTTAAATCATACTAGCCTATGGGAGAAAGTTCACATGCTTATTTTTCCAAAGTTCTAATTAAAATTGGGGCAGCATTATTGTGACAGCTAAAGCACCAAACAGTGGGTATAGCTGACCTCCTTAGTCAGAGATAGACTAGACTGGAACATTGGCAAACCACTGTGCAGATTCTCTGGGGTTTAAGACGTTCACCTCTATCACGTATTTAAGTTCTGGCACTCCTACCTAAAACTTGAAGAACATAACACACCTCTTACTTAGTAAGAGAAAAATTAAACTTCTAAGACACACCAAAATAACATTTCTTTCGAGAGTGATAGTTTTTTTACAAAATCACAGCCCTTTATTTTTCATGAGCTTTTATGAGGGTTTCAGCATAATTTGGCCTGAAGTATTCCTATAGGAAAAGTAATAGAATCAAAGTGTGTGACCAGGCTGGGTCTCATCCTCATTGTTAACTACGGGGACTTCATAACTGGATGACCAGATCCTAAACTGGACAGAATAAATCTTAAAGGTGATCCGTCTTTCTGGTAGGTAAAGAAAACACAGAATTGCAATTCTGAGGCTTACAAGGCTTCTTTGGCTAGGAGTGCCACGACAAGGCCTGTAAAGTATATGCTTTGCAGTATGCATATTCCAAAAGCAAGCATTTTTATCTCCCAAACCCTGCATCAGGGGTCATGGGAGAGACAAAAGGAAGGCCCTTCCCGAGTTTAAAATTCAATTCGCAAGGCAGGACTTAGGAAAATTAAACCAAATATTAAACGGAAGAAAATCCCCTGCGTAGAGTAATTGCCAACTTGCGTTGTACAAATCAAAACTGAAATAAAATTTTAGGGCGTTCTAAATAAATAGCTGGAGAAATAGATAAGACAAATCTAAAATGGAAGAAAAGGTGGCGGATTCGAGTTGAAAATGCCAAGTTGAGGACCGAAAGCATTTGGGTAGAAGCAGCCTCCGGGCTGGAAGGCAAATAGCAAACGAGTACTGCCACCAAAGAGCTGGAAAGGCCGATAAATGTTGCAGTGGGTCGGTTTAACTGAAGGAAGTTTCCTCCTCCTCCTCCTCCATTAGCTCGGCCCCAGTTGCAAGCGCAGTGCGCGTCGCCGCGCTCCCGGCCCGCGGCTCGGGTGGGAGCAGGGGGAACAGGCGTGGGAGGGGCGGGGCGAGCGCGGGCGCTCAGCCGGCGCAGGGGCGGGGCGGCTATATTACGTGCGCGGCGCCGCCCCTGCGAGAGGACGTTGCGTGCTCGCTCGCGCCAGGCGAGTCTCCGCGTCTCCCTCGCGAACTCGGTGAAAGGAATTGGCGCCGTTCGACACCAGGCGGATCCGCTCTGCAGCAGCAACCCAGCTCCAGCCGCAGCCGCAGCCGCCGCCTGGGCCGAGGAGCAGCCTCAGCCACCGCCAGTGGCCGAGTGAGCGGAGCCGAGTTTGAGCCAGCGCCTAGCGGTGAATCGGGGCCTCACCATGAGTTCCTCGCCTGTTAATGTGAAAAAGCTGAAGGTGTCGGAGCTGAAGGAGGAGCTCAAGAAGCGGCGCCTGTCCGACAAGGGCCTCAAGGCCGAGCTCATGGAGCGTCTCCAGGCCGCGCTGGACGACGAGGAGGCCGGGGGCCGCCCCGCCATGGAGCCCGGGAACGGCAGCCTAGACCTGGGCGGGGATTCCGCCGGGCGCTCGGGAGCAGGCCTCGAGCAGGAGGCCGCGGCAGGCGGCGATGACGACGAGGAGGAAGAGGAGGAGGAGGAGGAAGGGATAGCCGCCCTGGATGGCGACCAGATGGAGCTCGGGGAGGAGAACGGCGCCGCGGGGGCGGCCGACTCGGGCCCGATGGAGGAGGAGGAAGCCGCCTCGGAGGACGAGAACGGCGACGACCAGGGCTTCCAGGAAGGGGAGGATGAGCTCGGAGACGAGGAGGAAGCCGCGGGCGACGAGAACGGGCACGGGGAGCAGCAGCCTCAACCGCCGGCGGCGCCGCAGCAACAGCCCCAGCAGCAGCGCGGGGCCGCCAAGGAGGCCGCGGGGAAGAGCAGCGGCCCCACGTCGCTGTTCGCGGTGACGGTGGCGCCGCCCGGGGCGAGGCAGGGCCAGCAGCAGGCGGGAGGTAAGAAGAAGGCGGAAGGCGGCGGAGGCGGCGGTCGCCCCGGGGCTCCGGCGGCGGGTGAGTGCTGCGTGGTTGGTTGCGCGCGGCGGGAGGCCCGCGCGGGGTGGGGACCGTGCCCAGGCCTGCCGGAGCCCCGCTGGGGGAGGAGGGAGCCCCGCCGCGGGAGGGAGCCCCCGGGGGGGGCGGGGGCCCCTGCGAGGGGGTGGGGGGGAATCCCGGATTAGACGTGAGGCCTCTGCTCGGTGTGTGACGGCGGCGGCAGCGCCTCCATTATGTGGCTGGAGAGCCGGGGTGGGGGGGGGGGACTGCAGCTGCCGCTGGAGGGGGAGGAGCCGCGGTGGCGCCGCCGTGCTGCGTGCGCGCAGTGCGGGCACATGTCTCGGGGGGAGGGGAGGCCCGGGGCCCCGGCGGCGCGCTGTGGCGGCTCCGGGCCGCGGTATTGTGCAAGGCGCGCCGGGCTCGGCGTGACGTCACTTCCGGCGGGCGGGGCCGGGTGGGTCCAGCGGCGAGCAGTACAATGCGGCCGCGGGGAGCGCGGGCCCGGGTGGGGGAGGGGAGTGCGGGCGGGGCGCTTCGGCCCCTCCCCCCTTCCTGAACTCTCTCTGGGATACACGTGGGCTTCGGGCCTGGGCCGCGCTGAGTTTTCATTAGCATTTTCGAATATTCGAGTAGGTTGGCGAAATTAGCAATGTCCTTAGACTGCGTCACTAATTCTAGTCCAGTTCCAAGCGGGTTTTTCTTTGAATTCTCATTTGAGTCGTCGATAGAAAACACTTAAAAAAATGAACGGGGAAAGTCGAGCTTTTTTGGGGCGTCAAAACAGAATAGATTTTTTTGTTTGTTTTGTTGCGGCGTGGTCTCTTATAAAGGGGTGTCGTGTGTTGTAGGAGACGGCAAAACAGAACAGAAAGGCGGAGATAAAAAGAGAGGTGTTAAAAGACCTCGAGAAGATCATGGCCGTGGCTATTTTGAGTACATTGAAGAGAACAAGTATAGCAGGTAGAGGATGTTAACGTAGTGTTACTTGTCACCTGTTCTTTGTGCTTTGGTGGGGAAAGCTGTATCAGGAGACAATTCTGTCTTTCAGAGCCAAATCTCCTCAGCCACCTGTTGAAGAAGAAGATGAGCACTTCGACGACACAGTTGTTTGTCTTGATACTTGTAAGTGAAGCTGTTTCTCCCCCGTTCCTCCCCCAGTTGTCAAATGTGGTTTTTGGTTACAAAATATTAGAAAACTTAACACGTGTAAACAGCTGTTTTAAAAGTAGGAAGATGATGGCTTATATTCAGATTCTGGTCACTTAATATTTAGTACAGTAGTTGTATTGATAATTTTACAGGCTCTAACAATTTGATGTTTTTTGGTAGGGCTTTAAAGTTCTCATTTGTAGGAATGTGAAATTAATGCCAATATTTGACTGTCTAGCTAATGGAAACTTGTAAGACTACTTATAACTTGTCTATTTAGGCTTCTACGATAAATGTCGTTTTTTTGTGGGATTATGTTAAGTGAGCTCTTTGGGCTTAGTTAAATATTAATGGCTTTTCCATTAGCACGCCATTATATTCCCTATTCTAAAAGATTGTAATAATACTTTTTCAATAACTGCTCTTTTGTTCTCAATTCCAGTTCAGTAGCTGCTGCTTTAAGCTAAGTTGATTTCTTCCAAAGACCTGGGGCAGCAGCAGTGGGCTATCACTGGGCCACTAGCTTTCTTCAGCAGCGAATGGTATCAATGGCAGCGCTGTAAATACTGCTACTTTACCCAGTTGGGTTGCAATTGAGTATGAGGAAGTATTGCAAACCTCTAAATGGGCCTTGGCTGTCAGATTCCTAATTTTTCTAATACAAAAAAAAAATTGTTTGGTGTAGTGATCAGAAAGTACAATTCTTTCTGTGATAGAACAAAGGGTAGAAATAATTGCTTAGAGGTAAGGTGTCAACTTGTCCTGTAGATTAAGGAGTTGAAGCTTAGAGTCTCATGTTTTGGAATACATATGGTTTTCATTTAGATGTGTAAGGCAGTGTAAATATAAGTCTTGATTTCTTATTGCATACGCTTTACTGCATAGTTGAGATAGTGGAGTGTTTGTTTTTTTTTTTTTTAAAGACTTGCCCATGGAAGAGTAGTTGAATGTTTTACGTTAAATTCAGTTGCTTAAATATTGGCGAGATACTGAAGCAATGATTTGGCAAGGTAATACTATTATAAAAGGCTTTTAGCTCCTCACCTAGGGATATCAATTTAAGTGCATTATTGGGTTCAAACACAATTGGTTGAATTGAAAATTCTGTTAGTGATGATCGGGAATAAAAGAACAAAGCTAATTTAAGGAGAATTCCAAACTGTAGATTTAATTTCATATCACCAGTAGCTTTCCAACTTCAGCTCCCTTGACTGAGAACTCAGAAGGTGCATGCTAATGAGCCAGTGACCCAAAGGTAGCTAGGTTAAAGACGTTTTGGATTTGGATTATTCCAAAGTGTGTAATCCCCCATTGTTATTGATTAACAGGCAAGTCTGGGGAAAGGGGACCTAAAATGCTGTAGTAGTAACAGCATTAGATGACCAGGTTTGTATTTTGCAGATTGAAACTGCCTTAACAAGTTTTAGCAAACAATTTAAGATCTAGAGCCCCTGTAAAGTGCAGGATCAACAGCTCATACTCGTATTTTAAAATACGTGATCATGGCCTCCCTTCAGTTTTATTGTGGCACTGGTAAATTCTACCTGGTCTGGCATGCTTCACTTTGATTTCCTGCTATCCTCTACTGCTTGCCTCTAAATCAAGGTAAAGAGCAGAGCAGGTATGTATTAATGTCACATTGTCTTGATTATTTTATATACTTAAAAATATACTAAACCTCGATATTTGTTAGTTGCACAGGTAGTGTATGCTCTAGTTCATAATTTGGCAAGAATTGACTTGGTGGGAGCGGGGCTTGAACTGAAAATTCGAACAACAGCATGATCTGTAAAAATGTATGCAACATTAAGAAATATGAGAAAATTTAATAAAGTTTTGTCTACATAGCAGATACATTTGTATTGGATATCAAAAGAAATAATATGGTATTTGATATAATTGCAGATAATTGTGATCTACATTTTAAAATATCAAGAGATCGCCTCAGTGCTTCTTCCCTTACTATGGAGAGTTTTGCTTTTCTTTGGGCTGGAGGAAGGGCATCCTATGGTGTGTCAAAAGGCAAAGTCTGTTTTGAGATGAAGGTAAATGCAATTTTGTGATGATGTCTTTTTTTCCTTAAGAACCTTTGTGAGTTTTTCCCTGACACTTAGATGTCATTGGAACTTGTAATTTTTCAAGTTTTTGTGGGACTTGGAATCTATGATTTGTAACAGTTTAGGATGTTTGTTATATTAGAAGTTGCCATATAGAGCCAGCCTAATTTTTATTTAGGGTGTTCATTTTTTATCAGGCACTTGAAAGGCCCACCATGGGTTTGAAAATAAATTTGGTTAGGCTTCTGTTTCTGTTCCAGAGAAAAAGCATGTTAAGTGAATACTTTAGTTGGTTTTGAGTATTGAGAATATGTAATTTCAATGTTTTCTTTTAAACATGAATTAATCAAGTACTTAACCATTTTCCGTTTCAAGTTAAAAGCCCTTACATCAGTTGTTGAAGTTCTTGTGAATGTTAGGGGGAAGAGTAGAGTTGGTATCTTTCTGTACTTTGTAGCTGGAGAAAAATTAGCCCATTGCCCGAATGAAATAAACCAGCGTTGGTTCAGTGGTTTATTTTCCTTCGTTTACAGTTTAATCATTTATGATTTGACTTCCAGGTTACAGAGAAGATCCCAGTAAGGCATTTATATACAAAAGATATTGACATACACGAAGTTCGGATTGGCTGGTCACTAACCACAAGTGGAATGTTGCTTGGTAAAGTTTCCATTTGAGTATCTATGTACTCATGAGTGTTCAGGGTTTGATTTCAGTAATTAGACTAGAAGGCATTCTAAACTTTTTGCCTGTTTTTAGAGATGAATAATAATAACATGGACACTGGCTAAATTTTAGCTTTTCTTTCTTTGTGGTTACTTGGTTTATGACTGATGGTTGAAATAGAATATTATCCATGGTATGCAATTTGTCAGCTAGTTATATAACCACCTAGCTCTCATTAACTTTATATCTAGTATAAACCCTACATCTGGGATGTTAAAAGTACGTGGGTCATTGGACTTTTGAAAAACTGATTTCATGAAAGTTAATTATTTTCTTAGGTGAAGAAGAATTTTCTTATGGGTATTCTCTAAAAGGAATAAAAACATGCAGCTGTGAGACTGAAGATTATGGAGAGAAGTTTGATGAAAATGATGTGATTACATGTTTTGTTGTAAGTCGTAGCTAAATTTCTACATATAAATAGCAAGTTAGTAGATAAGAGTATTTTAACATTATATCGTTGTCAGTTTTCAATACTAATTCATTTTGACTGAAAACTACTTAATGTGAAGTTGATCCGAAAATCTAGTCTTTTAGGGCAATATTAATTTCTGCTTGTGGATATAGGTGTTCTAGTTGTATATAACGAAATGTTACCAAAGCTCTTTAACATATAATCTAAATATGTTTTCTACAGGATAAAGCTTCATTCCTAACTTGAATTTTGAAGTTTTTTTTAAAAGAAGTATTATAAGAAGTAGATTAAAACCCATTAATTTTTTTCTCCAATTAACAGAACTTTGAAAGTGATGAAGTAGAACTCTCCTATGCAAAGAATGGACAAGATCTTGGCATTGCCTTCAAAATCAGTAAGGAAGTTCTTGCTGGACGACCACTCTTCCCGCATGTTCTGTGCCACAACTGTGCGGTTGAGTTTAATTTTGGTCAGAAGGAAAAGCCATATTTTCCAATACCTGAAGACTATACTTTTATCCAGAATGTCCCCTTGGAGGATCGAGTTAGAGGACCAAAGGGGCCTGAAGAGAAGAAAGATTGTGAAGTAAGTCACTTTAAAAAAAGAATTTTGAAGGTTGTTTTTGCTTGGCAAAAATGACATTTAGAAGAGTTGGATGGTTGCTCTGTTTAATTTACTAACTGCCATACATGTTAAAGTTCAGATATGTAAACTGAGCTTTTGTGCATTAAAAAAAAATATTTAAAGAATTCTTTCCATTGTAGGTGGTTATGATGATTGGCTTGCCAGGAGCTGGAAAAACTACCTGGGTTACTAAACATGCAGCAGAAAATCCTGGTAAATACAACATTCTTGGAACAAACACCATAATGGATAAAATGATGGTAAGTAGATTGGGCATGATTTCAGCATTTTTAAGACTAGAAGGTATTCGGGGTAACGGTTTTGTCTTTATTCATTTTGTGTTAGTATCTTAGAGATAGGAGTTCGGGCAGTTAAACTGGTTATTTAAGCAGGCTCTTTACCTGTAAGGTAAACTGCCTTCCAATGGCTAGCTTAGGCTTCCTTCTCTTTTCTATAGAAGGTTTTGGACTCGGATTATCCAGTAGCTAAAAATGAATTGAAGCCACTGGGTGTTGTTACAGTATAAAATATCCTTTTCTGTAGCAATGAGAAAAGGCAATATTTAAATTTTGAAACTTTAACTTTTAAAAATAGGTGGCAGGTTTTAAGAAGCAAATGGCAGATACTGGGAAACTAAACACGCTGTTGCAGAGAGCTCCACAGTGTCTTGGAAAGTTTATTGAGATTGCTGCCCGTAAGAAGAGAAATTTCATTTTGGATCAGGTGAGCTGCAGCTTTGAGATTGAAAAAAGTAACTGATAATTACAGAATTAATGTTTGGGGTTATAAACTTTTTTTTTTTTTTTTAAAAAGACAAATGTGTCTGCTGCTGCCCAGAGGAGAAAAATGTGCCTGTTTGCAGGCTTCCAACGAAAAGCTGTTGTAGTTTGCCCAAAAGATGAAGACTATAAGCAAAGAACACAGAAGAAAGCAGAAGTAGAGGGAAAAGACCTACCGGAACATGCAGTCCTCAAAATGAAAGGCATGAAATTTATTTCTACTGTTATGTTAAATATCTTTCTGTGATTTATATCTGTGAACTTAAATTTTGTGTCAGTAATACTGTTTCAGGAGTTAACTCTGTAAATGAGCGTACTTCACTTGTTTAAGAAAATGTAATTAAAACATGAATAGATACTGTATGCTTTGCAGGAATTAAGCTGCTTGAGAGTTGTAGGCTCTAGGATTGTGAATGTGTATGTAGTGGATTTGTAGGTTAATACGATTTAATGTTTTGTAGGAAACTTCACTCTGCCAGAAGTAGCTGAGTGCTTTGATGAAATAACGTATGTTGAACTTCAGAAGGAGGAAGCCCAAAAACTTTTGGAGCAATATAAGGAAGAAAGCAAAAAAGCTCTTCCACCGGAAAAGAAACAGAACACAGGCTCAAAGAAGAGCAATAAAAATAAGAGTGGCAAGAACCAGTTTAACAGAGGTGGTGGCCATAGAGGGCGCGGTGGATTCAATATGCGTGGTGGAAATTTCAGAGGAGGAGGCAAGTTAATTTTGAGTATTATTTATTTGGTTCAATGTTGAAACAAGTGGTAATCTGTAATCTTCTAGTTTGGGTCTGTATGTTTTTCTGCTGAATTTAACATAGGAAGTTTTTGATCCTCACGTCCTAGCTGTCTTAGTAACCATAGTAAAATACTTCATGCGATTTGACGGTAAACACACCTAGGTTATGTTGAATGGTTAAATTAAACATTTTTTTCATAAAATAAAGGAATGGTCCAGAAGAACCCTAAGTCGTGTGTAAAGAAGGTAACAACACACTGTTAAATGAAACGTCTCTTGTTTTAGCTCCTGGGAATCGTGGTGGATATAATAGGAGGGGCAATATGCCACAGAGAGGTGGTGGCGGTGGCGGAAGTGGTGGAATTGGCTATCCATATCCTCGTGGCCCTGTTTTTCCCAGCCGAGGCGGTTATTCAAACAGAGGGAATTACAACAGAGGTGGAATGCCTAACAGAGGGAACTACAACCAGGTAATGATTTAAGATTCCTGTATACACTGTTTCTCTATATAGTTTAGTCTGGAAAGTTAAAGGCATATGTTGCGCAGCCTCAGAAAGAGTTGGGAACACAGCATGTACGCATAGTGATGGTAAAATGAGTCAATTTCATTTATATTGATTTTTCAGGTGCATTAACTAGCAACAAGTCAGGTGATGTCTCATAGCGAATAAGTTAATCACCTGAGAGCAAACGCAGCAGAGAGTGCTCAGAGGTTAATGGCTGACTGGCAATCTTACCTATTTCTGTGGCTGTGTCTCCTCTTCTCCCCCTGCCCCATATACAAACCTAACAACTTGTGCTCTTTTTAAAGGTTCTTTTCTTTTTTGTAGAACTTCAGAGGACGAGGAAACAATCGTGGCTACAAAAATCAATCTCAGGGCTACAACCAGTGGCAGCAGGGTGTAAGTAATTCCTTATGTGCTTTTTTGTACATTTAATTGTATTTTGAATTCGTAAGAGTCAACCTTGAAAAAAGATCTTGTCCAGGGATTGAAGTGTTTATAAGTGTTACAGGGCAAGGTGTGAATTGTGTTGCAGTTGTAGCCATAATGTCTTTTGAAGACAAAATAGGTTGGAGTTTGCTGTAACTTAATATTTTAAATAAAATAGTATTTAATACATATGGTTCTTTTTACTGCTAGCTTTAATTGTATAAACTAACCAAGTCATAATGTGTTTCCTTTTGTAATGTGTATTGATAATGGGATATTAATACCAACTAAATCTGGCTTGATAAATCAGAGGTATGACAGGTATAAATTTGTCTCCAGCAATTACTCTGAATTAGATTGTCATTTCCTAAAAGCAGTTTGAGTGGCTTATTGATGTTTTTTCTTTAAAAAAAAAATTTTCTCTTACAGCAATTCTGGGGTCAGAAGCCATGGAGTCAGCATTATCACCAAGGATATTATTGAATACCCAAATAAAACGAACTGATACATATTTCTCCAAAACCTTCACAAGAAGTCGACTGTTTTCTTTAGTAGGCTAACTTTTTAAACATTCCACAAGAGGAAGTGCCTGCGGGTTCCTTTTTTAGAAGCTTTGTGGGTTGATTTTTTTTTTTTCTTTTCTTTTTTGTACATTTTTAATTGCAGTTTTAAAGTGAATCGTAAGAGAACCTCAGCATTGTGCACGATAAGAGAATGTGTCAGTATTTCAGGGTTCTACATTTTATCTGTAAAATGTGACTTTTTTTTTTATCACAACAAAAGTAAAATGTTGCTTTGTACCTGGTGTCTTTTATTAAGAATTTACTCCCCCCATTTCTCAGAGATAACAGTCGGGAGTTATTGTCACAATATAATAGAAATGTTAGCAACCAGATTCATGTAAGGACTAAGTGGTCCTCATGAATTGCATAAGACTCTGTACTGCTCGTATTACACTCCATCCTCTCTGTAGTTTGCTGAGTAGTGGAGGGGTAAGCTAAATAGTAGTTTTTGACAGTAACTGGGAAGGCTCTTTCTTTTTAAGTAACAATGCAATTGGCATATTTGGGAATGAAGATAAAATTTGGAACTAAGATAGAGAAGATGGAGTGTATGTAGAAGGGCTGTTAAAAATGTAAAACTTGGTTGCATTATTTGTGGAGGCTCAAACTTGTGAAGGTTAAATACCATAATTTTTCCATTTGTTCTGCATTTTGATTCTGAAAAGAAAGCTGGCTTTGCCCATTTCTTATTAAAAAAACTTGTTGTAAATCCAGTTGTCTAATGGGATCTATATGAAGTTAGCTATGTCTGTATGCCCTTCTCCCACAAAATACTGTATAACTAGTGTGCTTGTAGTAGTTAACTCCACCATCTTTGTAAGCTAATGAAATTGTGAGTCACCCATTTATATCTTAATTTTTAATCATGTCAGTTCTTGAATGGGTATCTCCTTAGCCTGCTGATTTCTTTTTCTTTCTAAAGAAAGTGGGTGGAGAAATTAATTTAGACGTTTGTTTGCAATAAAAAGAATTCATTTTACTCTCGTTTTGGGATTCTCGCCATCAAGGTTCAAAATCCCTTTATGAAACTCCCAAGAGGAGAAAATTTAAGTGTGTGCTTTCTGGACAGCTTATTCTCTGTACTTGGAACATTTAGGTTTTAAAAACTTAAATGTGTACTGACAATTGACTTTTTAAATTATGAAGTAAAGTTGAATGCTTCCCTTCCCCTCCCCGCCCAGATGACTTTTAACATTTAATGAGGGGAAAAGGTACTGGCTGGGAGAAGTTAACACTCAGTTTATCATCTTTACAAAACGCTAATGGCTGTCCTCAACTGATAATTATATATACATCTGTATAATACATGAAACTCTGGGAACAGATGCTTTTAGAAGCCATCATGCAAGCCAGTCACTACTACACAACACTGCTAACTTAACTGTAGTTATGTGATAACATTAGATCCCCTAATTGTAATTTTATTGGGTTTGCACAGAACACTTAATCTTCTAAAGGACCCTCACTCATGTGAGGTGAGGAATCAGGAGTCAAACTGTAGAACTAAAACTTGACATCAGTTTAGTGTTTCATTGGTGTTTTAGGTTGCTTCTGGTAAGTATAGGTTTGTTTGTATTTGACTGCTTAGATTTTTGTTTTAGCCATTTAAAATCAGATTTTTAACTATTTATACTCCTAGGAATTTTCTTGCTAAAGGATGAGCTGGAGTTGAGTTTCAGATGATGGTGTAGGTTCAGTTGAGAATTTTTTGGCCTATAACCCTACAGTTAACCATAGGAATACTTAACAGTACAAGATAGTGCCTCAGGGGCTTTTGTCTTTCTAGCAATTAACTTAATGCAAGCAACCATTTGCATGAGTCTGCTTTTCAGTATACATCAGTATTACTGGGGTTGTATAGACTTATGCGGGGGGTGGGGGGGAGTAAGGTTTGTTGCTAATCAGTGTTTGTGTCCTAAATGTTTAGGTGCTATTGAAAAATCTTGGATATACCTTCTAGCTTAAAATTGCTTATTAAAGAATTCATATTCTAATCATCGCAGTGGGAGAGTGATGGCCAAGTGACATTTGGTAGGCTGTCATGCCTGTGCAGCACAGAAAATTTTGGGAAGAGAGATGGGATAGATAAAAATGCCCAGGAAAATGTTAAGTTTGAAGAAGCAGTTTCAAGGTCAGAATTAATAGTAACACCTGCATTTGTATGAAGTGACATAATCCTAGAGAGTATTTAAGAAATTAAGAAGAGGGAGTGCACCATATAGCAAATAAAAAAAGTTGATGCCAAGTTTGGCAGAACGAGATCTGTAAATGGGAAACTCGGTTCATTGTTCACCCCTTCCCTTGCCGACCTCCCCTCAATGGCAAGCAAAACACTGAATAAACAAAAATTATCTGAACAGATGTCCCAATTATACCCTGAGAAAACTCACCTGTGAGATTGCTCTTGGTTTAAGGGGTGCTTTCACTAGAAACTTTTGCATATAGTTACTTAATACCTATCATCCTGAAGCAAGAATTGGATTAGATTGGTTACTAAGACATTAATCAGGAAAGAACAGAAAGTGCTTTAAGTTAGAAATCATAAAGTAACTGGAACTGTAAAAAGTTTTCTTTGTTGCTGGTAGTTTACGCCTTGTTACTCCTATCTAGCCTTTGGTGGCTGGCTCTGGCTCAGACCTAGAAGGCTGAGACCAGCTTCTGGCCCTGATACCCAGACAGCAAGATGAAACCTTAAAAATGAAGTATGAGTCAAATCAATATGACATTGAAGTGACAAGAAGCCATATTAAATCTAGGAAACGATAAGCTGTCATTTGCCTAGGATCCTGTCTGAAAATAAATATGGAACTAGATGTCTTGAACACTCACAAGATTTTAAAGCTTCTTAAAGACAGTTTTCCTTGAAAAAATACTGTTTTCGAGGAAAGGTAACTTGGTAGTATTTCTTTTTCACCTCCTGTGGAGTTTACTTTCATGGATAGACTGTTTTGTATTCGCCTCAGTTGTGGAAATTGACATTTTTCTATGAACTTTTACTTAATATAAATTGGCTTTTATCCTAGGATTGTTTTTTATAACCCATCCCATTGCACAAATGAGGAAACATTTTGATAGCTTATAAGGCAATGGTATAGGCATCTTTCACACGTAAAGATCTGTAAGGGTATTTCTGATGTGCTTTAAAAGCCTAAACCAGAATAAACTTACTAAGGAAGGCATAAACTTGTATCTTCAGTCCAAGTCGTAGTTGCTGGTATTAGACATAAAACACATCTTAAAATCATTAGTTTCCATAATTTCCTTCTTACACATTGAAATGTTTTGAATCTAGACTTGGTCATTGTTCATATTTCTGGGGCTCTGGACTTTATAAAAATGGGTTTAGGTTTTAACATTTTAGTAATAGTTAATGAAAGTAAGGGTGTATGTTAATGGCAATGGCCTGGCAATAAGTTGCAATGCTTAGTTTATGTGTTGGAACTCTTGCTTATGCGTGAGTTTTAAGGGACTGTTAAATTAGTGCTTTGAATTAGAAACTTACCAACTGCCTCATCTCTAAACAGCAGTTTGGACTTATTAGGTTAAACCATGGTTTCTTCAAATCATTAATTGCCTTAACTAAAAAATAGGTAAAACTGCAATATCCTTGTGATGTGGAGAGCCTTTATCTTGGGTAATTTTCAGATGTGACTTTTTTTGGCCTTGTCATTGCACAACTTCTGTGCTAAAACATGCAGGTAATAGATCTAGCCAGTTCAGTGCTTAGGCTGCTCTAATCCCTAGTTCTTAACTTAGTACTACAGGTACATGTTTACAAGACATATAGTAAAATTACATTGTCCACCTAACTCCTGTTGAAGTGACATTTGTTTTATTAATCCATACTAATCTTGATGTTTGAAAAGTAAATCCTTAAGAATTTGGAAATGACTTACAGTACTGATGGATGTAGTATGTGTCCCCTAGTGTTGAGGTAGGAAAAAAATCAAAACCCAGCATCCCCAAGTACCTTAACGTTAATCTTAAACTATAAACTTGTGAATTTGAACAGGAAATAACCTACCTTAACATATAATTTTTATATATTTTGCTGATTAGGTATGCCATTTTATTTGGTGGTCACATTTAGTAAATTTCAACCATGCAGATAGCTGGATCTCAGAAAATAATAGCTTTAGGTAAGAGGGAAATGGCTAACAAAGATAAGTAGGCATATATACTTTCACATCTTAGCCGATTGACTAAAGATATAGGGTGATAGGATATGTTCAATTAGTTTGCCCAAGGAATTAGTCCATGAGGAATGGTAGACTGGAAATAGGTGGGAATATTACCCATAATGTTAACCAGAATTACTCAAAAAAATGTAACACCTGTAAATTGTGCAGTTAGGTTGGGAATGTGCTGTCCACCTGGGAAGCTGAATAAGTACAACTTGTTGGCATTATGTAGACAGTTGGTGCTTTCACTGGTGATTGTAGATCCAATATTAGGGGAGTAAATGTTGCAGATAACTGATAGGCCAGGACATCTGTAATCCGTTTGGTTAGGTGAGTTATTGGGACAAGAACTTAATCGTGTGTTTAATGTGTAATCATTTTATCACCTAGGAGTATTACAATTTTTTTTTTCCTTTTCATGCCAGGAATCAACATATACTTGCATCTTGACAAGGAACAGGGGTTTTGCTTTTAAACAAAACTGGATCTGTGGGTATGAGAAACTATTATAGTTGAAAGTGATGTGGGAATACCAGTCCAGTCAAATGGAGAAATGTCTTATGGAAAGTTAATTTGTTCTGTTAATTTGTTCAGTTGTTCAAATATTTCAGTTAAAATCACAGCGCAACACCAATGGCACAGCAGTTATTCCTGAGCATGCCCAGCTTGGGTATCTGCACAACTGGATGTTATGAAGGGACTACAGGCCTGGAAAGCTAGCATAGTGTTTAAAACCTGTAAACACTGAACTGTTGTGGCATGTTCTTTTCTGCCAGTCCTCTAATACTCCATTCTGTGATCTTACAAGAAGTAAAATTAGTTTTGCCTAGTAAGATATTTTATACTTGCCAAGCACTTGAGAAGCACTGCCACAAATTAGTACCAGCCAAAATTTTTTTTTTTTTTTTAAAAAGCAAAAGCGATGAAGAACTTTGAGATGGCCACTGTAGACATTTAACTTGCGTGGCTTTCATGAGAACGAAAAAAGAGATGCAGAGAAAGTGAGATAAAGTTAATACCTCAGAAGAACAGTTGAAGCTTACTTGAATGACAGGATAACTTTGTACTAAGGATAACTTAGTAATGACATAACTTTGTAATAAGTAGTTGTTAATAAGGTATCCTTTCAGTTGTCTGTAGTTAAGGGAGATGGGAGAGTCACGGTCAAGAACAACAAAAGGTTCCAACTTACTTTTTTTTTTTGAAAAAATAAAAAATAATGTGCTGATTTAAATTTCATCTCCTTTTCCTTAGTCTGTCCATGTGAATGTGCTGTGTGGAAGAGTAAAAGGGTCCAAGTAAATGTGTTCCAGTGATTCCAATAGGTATTCCGAATTAATTGCTGCTTGTACATTTAACACGTGTTATACTGGGCTTCCAGGATCACCTTAATTAGAACAACTCTTATTTTAAAAAGGCAGGGGAAAGGGAGAAATTGGTAACTAAGTGCATAGATTTGTTTGTAACAGGAAAGAAAGGTTCTCTAGTATCTCTTTTGCATACCTGAAATGTGAGGTATTTGGTGGTACGTTAGCAATTGGTGGTCCTCTTGCATAGGTTAAAGGCAGTACATGCAAATAGAGCCAAGTCCCTTTAAGGTTAAATCCTTATTCTAATGGTTCAAATTCCTTCTATTTAATGTTATGTAAGACATTGTTTCAATATCCTCCCTACTTGTAGAGTTGAAATACTTCCTTACAATATTCTAATACAAAGATAGCTAGGATACCTATGTCCTTGGGTTCCCAAAATCTTTCTGTATCTGTATTAAATGCACAAATACTTTTTGTTAGCTTATAATAACTTGGAAAATGATCTTTTTGGATAATGAAGTGATGTAAATTTACATCAAAGTACAAAAAGATCAAGAAGTGAAATTTAAGACAAGGACTTTGATTATGTTAGTCCAGAGCATGTACTTTCTTGTTGCCCTGAAATTATTTAAAGACTTAATAAGAAGCTTAGAAGAAATTAGTTTTTCCCACTACATACTTGAGAATAATGTATTTTGGTGAAGTGAGAGGACTTGGCTGCTGTACTGACTGAAAATATAACTACCAGGGTTTCCTCAGTGAAATACAGTTCTACTCTGTCAAATAAAAGCAATCTCTAAAGACTTGAAGAGCAGACAACTTAGAGTAAAAGGTAAAAACTCAAAGCCATTTCTGTTCATTTGAGAGAAACAAACTAGAAAGATGTTTTTAAAGCAAACTTAGAATTTAGATAGTAGAACACGTGTCATTTCACGTGACTAGTCCTTGTGGTCTAAGGGGGAAGACATTTTTATGAAAACTTAACCCTTTAAGAAACCAGTATATGCAAATTTGAATCCCCTAAGGGTAGGCCATATATAATAGGTGTTTTACAACTTACAGAACTTGGTAAAAGTTATTCCTAGAAAAGAGTAGAAAAGATAGCTGCCTGTTAAGTCCATGTGAACATTTAGTGAACAATAGAAACTTTTAATTTAGTACTTAGAGTCACTGGTAGCTTTCTCAAGATAAAAATACTTGGAAAAAGTCATCTTTTAATCTCTAGAAAATAAAGAGTGGTTGAAAAGACTCAAATGTTTGCAACACTGATCAGTAGTGCTCACATTATGAACTTTAAAATGTAATACTTTATTAAAAAACTAAGCTTTTTTGTCCCTAAAGCTTGTCTTAAAAGAAAATTTAAATATGGAACTTAATGCACAAAAACAACGTGTAAGATACCAGTATTTGGGTGGTAGAGGATATTATATATTATTACTGACCTGATTTGATGACCAATGGACCATATTTTAAGATGCTTCCCAAAGATATTTTATTCTAGAGTACTATTAAAAACCACAGTTAAAGCAATCAGTAATTTTTCTACTTTCCTCATTAAGGTATTCTGCTTTCCCAAAGTAGTTTACGTTAACATCACTTTTAAAGGGGTGTCTTAATCCCCATCCACCACAGATTTTTACCTAGGAATAGGAGGATTCAAACCCTATTTGATCCCTAGCTTTTTGCTGAAAAGTGCATAAACAGGAATCCTGAATTTATTATATAGACCTCCTCGCATTATAAAATCGAAGCAAAGGGAAACCAGCGATGGAGTAGAGGTACGTAGACTGAAGAGATGCTTGCAAATTAAATAATGGTATTAGGGATAGTCAGATTTCTTGTTGGCAAACTTGGTCAATAGAAATCACACGTCCAGAGAAAAGCTAGTTAATTTTAAATTCCCTGAGGTTCTTTTACTGAGATGTAAAGCAAGTAGTCAAGGAAAAACAAAGAGGGAGGGGTGAGGGAAGGGGGGGAACTGCATAAAGCACTTAGAGGTAGTTAATTAAAGTAGGTATGATAAGCTGCAAAGTTTTAAACCTACTAATTGCCACAATTCTATTTTAATCAGCTATTTAGCTGGTACCTACCGCTATATCACCTAGTGTGAAATTTCGGATTTAATGGAATAATGAAGGAAGCAGTGCAGCTGGAGGCTTCAAGTGGGCTCGAAAGGTAGGTTACTCTTTCAGCTTAAGTTTGGAAAGTGTAAGCTTTTGGGTGAGAGGCACTAGTGAACATTTAGTAATTAAACTAACATGTGTTTACTGCTTTATACCAGACACTTGGTTGGGAATGTAAAGATAGGGTTCTTGTAGCACAAGTCAGTGAGCAATGGAAGTGCCAACTACTGTTAGTGGAACATGAAACAAAGTAGTGTGAGAGCCTAAAAGGTGGTGATGATCCTAATTCTAGAAGTTAGCAAGAGAGTGGAAGGTTATAGAGAAGGAGGTAGGAGAAGGGCACTATAAGTGAAGTGAAAAAATTTGAGCAGAGGTATGAGTTCAGTTCATGGTGGCCAGAGGTACACTGGAGGTGGGACTGGCAAAACTTCGCAGTTTGAACTTGAAGTTGGATGGCAGAGTGGAAGAAGATTGGACTGGAGGGACCGGAAGTGGAAGTGTCAAGATCAACTTGGAGGCCTTGGAGGTCTGGTAGCAATGTTTTAAGGGCCTAGAGCATGTTGAATGGTCCAATAATTCATTAATGCATTTTGTATCATTTTAATAGGTAAAGAAGAAAAAGTGCTAATGATTTAAGTTTATGAAATGATATTTGAAAAGTAATCCAAATAAGTAATTATATTTAAACTTCTGTTTTTATCCAGGTCTCCAATTTATGCAGTCATTCTGCTGTGAAAATGAACTAACCTTGTTATTATTGAAGGCCTTGGAAATTTTTACCAGCTGAGAGATTTTTCTCTTACTCAGGGTAAGACGTAATCATAGTGTGTTAGAGCTGGAAGGGACTTGACTTACATAATCCATTTGCCTGATTTCATATGTTACATGTTATGAAACTGAAGCTGAGAACGTAAGTGGCCTGCACAGCTTGTTAAATATCAAATTTGATTAGTACTCCTCAATTCCTCCACCCCACCCCAACTCATGCCTTTTAAAACATGAGTGACTGTCACATGGAATTTTTAACATAATTGTTTAAGATCAATTTGAATAATACAGACTGCACCTAGCTCTGATTTGTGTCAGTAACGGCAGGCAGATGATCTTGCAAAAACTTCTTTCTCTTTTCTAATAACCTTCCCTTGTTAATGTCCAAGTCTTTCCTTTGGTGGCTGCCAGATGATTAGGATCAATAAAAATCTCTCAGAACATATATGCTTGACAGTGTCACTCATGATAGGGCATTTGGTAAACCATATAGCTTGTGTACCCTAACCCTCATAATGACAGCCATAAGAAGGTGAGCATGGGAGGGAAAATGCTACTGCTCTTATGAAGTGAACTGGAGCAGGCCCCTACCTATCCTGAAAACGGATTAAGAACAAAATAAAGTTTCAAAACATCTCTTCCTTGATCTGTTTAGCTCACCCGTGATAATCAGTAGGACCAGTAATAATGCCATAATCCTATCCACTGGTGTCTTCTTTCATACTTATCATTCCTTAACCAGAAAGGTCTCTAAGCCTGTGTTTTAAGTAATGTTGATATTTATTAAACCAAAAATGATGAATGAATGAATAAATGCTGTGGACTTAGTTGGGTGTTGGGTGCTTTTTTTAAATGGCAGCCAGTTGAATTATAAATGTCTTTACGTTAATGGAACAATATGTAATTCTGCAGTATTTTCCTTTGCACCAAACAAGTTTCTGAAAATATTTTTATGTGTGCCATGTACATATTTAAGTTCTACTTAAAAATAAAAACCCTGCATACATCCCAAAAATATTTAGAGCAGCTAAAAACCACTTTTCCTTTCTGAGAGATGACTCACCTGTTGAAGTGGAAGAATAGGGTCAAGCAATGGGTACATTTTTAAAATAAAAATTGCAGAGTGACGGCCCATTAGTTTTAAGTCTGATATAACATCACTGGCTTTAGAAATCAGAAAGTGTCCCCTCATTTTTAACAGGGTACAGTAATACAGTTGTGATTTTTGTTTTTAAGGCAAGTTTTAACATTGAACTGAGATTTTATTTCTTGAAACGTCAGGTGTACTCACTGCTTACCATAAGGAAACACTTTTCTAAGCATGATAAACACGAGGTTTATTTTAAGTATGAGTCCACTATGTGCTATACTGACAGTAGATATAGGGGCAGAATAAGTTTGTACATACACATGTAAAATGACAACAACTTACACATACTTTATTTACTTGGTTGAAAGCCTTGTGGTATATAAAATGCTTTCTATAGTTGATCTCGGCTTGGTTCACACCGAAGTGAGTTGTATCTGGGTTTTCTGTGCTCAAGACTGCTCAATTGCTGCTGCTGCCGCTGTTGGTTTGTTTTCTTTCAGGATCAAGGTGGGTACTTTCATATAAAATCTTGTTTTTAATTCCTTCTCTGGCACGTCTTTCCTGGATTCTTAGCTTTGCATAATTATACCTACAATGGAACCTAGTAAGGAGAACATGAATAAATTGATATAACATACCTGTAGAAACTAATTTGAAGTTTGTAATCAAAATTTTTAAATGCTTACAGATGACTGTCAGTGGTTGTGAACACATTCTTAAGGTAGCATTTTCAGATGTTATGCCATAGGTAGGGATTGAAATGAGCATTAGGATAAGATAAAAGGTTGAGGCCTTCCTAAACGAAGTATAAACCCTGACATGGCCTTAATGCAGTGCCTAATGCCATGCATTCATCTGTTCATTTGACAAATGACACAAGATGTGTGTGTATATATACATATTTAAAAGATGAAAGGCAGTCCGGCAATATCATTTTGTAAGATAAGTTTCCGTGAGGGTGGGGAATCTTAGTGGGAGATGGCTCTGAGTAGAGCATGTCCTTTGGAACTAGATAAACCTATTAGAATCGTGGATCTTCTTGAATACTTAGCACACATACCAGCATCCTAAAGTCACCAAGATAAATCCTCCTATTCCAACGTCACATGATCTTCTAATTCTGCCTGTCAAAAGGAAGCATAAACACTAATACACTGCATGTTATAATACTTCCTCTAGGAAAAAAACGTCAGAGAAACATGTTTTTTATGCATAGAGAAAAGCAGATACTCACTAGTTAACAAAAAGTGTCCGAGGCCAGCCACAACAGATCCTAATGAGCCATACAGTGTCGAATCCCGAGCACAGGGGATGTTTTCAACATCTAAAATTCCTAGGAGCTTAAAGGGCTACGAAAAATAAAAAAACTTAGGTTGGACAAGAGAATATTTTATTTTAGGGTGGTTCGGCAAAGACGAAAACCATCTTTAATCATCCTGCTTTGGTATGTAATATGAATCTAAAATGGAAACCCTGAGAATTTGACCAGAAAGTCCTAAGCAGGTAGGGTAAATTAAACCTAAATAGGTTATGGTACCATGGTTATGCTATAATTTGTTAATCAACTGGTTTGGAGATAAGGTAAGGGCATACATTATTTTATGAGCTCTTTAAACATCTGTATGAAATCATTTGGGGGATTTGGCTATCATTGAAATTTAAAAGCAGCATAATTTACTTCTAATAACCTGAGATGCATAGATGGGAAAAGTGAAATTGTCCTAACCATGTTGCTTATAATATTAGTATACTGCTGTTTTAAATTCCTTTAAGGAGGACTGCAGATTTTCTGTGTTAACTAGTAACAACACATCAGGTGTGTCTGTAAGAATAAATACTTTGTGTTGAGACAAATCTCGTCTGTTTCTTGCCTGTGATATGAAGTTGCCGTTGATTCTATTTCTTGGTTGGTAGTACATGGTAACCATACCTAGGTGTGATGAAAAAAGCTGGAAATCTACAGGGTTGGATTTTATTCTCAGCTCTGCCACTAACTTCTGTAACCTGTAGGACATATTTTTTTATCTGGCCTGCAATCTGTAATGAAGGGGTTCAGCTAGGTGATAATTTAAGTTCCTTCAAGTGCTAAAGTGAATGGTTTTAAAATTCTTTATATAGTCTTCATTGGATTTATGGATTTGTTCTCCCTCATTAAAAAATACTGCCACTTTAAGCATAACATTTTCCAACTTGAATGTCTTGTCACTCACTCTGTACTTAGGGGTTTTGGGAGGGCAGGACAGAATTTTTTTTATAAGGCACGCTTATGTTTTGCTACAGCATTCTCCTATTCATAAAAAAAAAAGAAAACGTAAGTTACTGTTTTCAGTTAATGTAGCTTTTAAAAAGGAAGCCACTTGTCCATTCTTTGGGATGAGATAGATATACCTAGATGGTAATATACTGTAAGGGAAAAAGAGTGGAAGAAATGGGAACAGGACAGTAAAGGGCAAGTCAGATTAAAGGTTGAAACATGAAGGTATTGTGTTTGCCTTGGCTCAGGCTTCTGCAGGAAAGACAATGTGACTCGGTTCCTAATAAAGCAAAAGTTATACACTCTTGGATCATTATGTTCCTTTTTTTTTTTTTTTGCCTCTGCCTGTTCCCTCCCCCCCCAACATGTTTACTTCATGAACACAGCAGGTGCTCATTGAAGTTGCAGACTTGAATGTTAAAAGGCTCTTTAGTACAAATCTTCATGTACAAAGAGGTTGGGATTTAATTCTGCTTCTAGGCTTTTCATTTAATTTAGCAAAAGATGATTGTTTCTCACCCTCAGGTCAAGAGCCAGGTGGAATTTATGGCCCGGAGGGGAAGGAGGGTGTGATCAGTTCTGCAGCTAGGCCATTGCCCTGGGGGAAGGATGCTAAATAGACTGAGATGGGGTGGTGGTGGTTAATGTCAGATCTTAGAAGCGAGTGAGACCAGCAGCTTCTACCACGGGGTAGAATGTTAAGATGGCTTTCACATTTAAGCAGAGAGAAAGAAAGGAGCTATCAAGTGTTGGCCGCAGCATGCCAAACACTGCACATCTCTGCCAAAGACAGCACTTCTTTCAAGGCTTCTGGGCTTTTTCATTTGGATTCCGTTCCAAAATGGAGCCCTAGTGTGACCCCAGGATACACCAGAATCTGCAAACTTTGCGGGGGGGGGGGGCATTTGGATAAAATTATCAGCCCCAGTTCTTTGCCAAGTGTGTAAAATAAACTTGCTGAACATCTGAAATGGTGCTATTTGTTTAAATCAGCTAGGTAGGTAGCTTTCTGAGCTTTTTAGAGATTTTCAAATCCCACCCTCAGATTCTGACTCAATAGGCCCCGGGCATTGATGTTTAGGAAACCGCCCACCCCGCAGACTGGGAGAAACACTGCTTTAGAGATTTTAGAAAAGTAAAATTTTGAAATTGCAGATAATGGAGTAATCCAGTTTATTTTGAAAGATAAACATATCCTTTTTAAGGGGTACCTTCTAAAACCAACAATGGGTTAGAGGCCAAGGATGCTACTGCTAAAGGTCCTGCAATGCATGTATCACATACAAGACTGCCTTGGTCAATGTCAGCACCAAGGTTGAGAAGCCAATGCTTGTCGAATTAATCTCATAATTTAGAGGTGCCAAGGACCTATTAGTGCCCGGCCCTTTATATCCCTTGTTTTTAATTCTCACAACCTCTTTGTGACATTTTCTCTGCAACAGGCTCAGGGTTTAAGTAGAAGGCTAATAAGTGCTGGCAGAGTAGAAGTGGAAGTCAGTCTGACCCTGAAAGCCTGTCATTCCCACTGCAGCATTTAACCCTTTGGTTTTTTAGTAAACACTAAGGTTCACATATAGAGAGTAATAGAACTGTGTACATAACTGTAGATCTGCATGCAGTTTGTATCAAAACTGGGTAAGGATGTACAAAGACTTTTTCCCCTTCACTAGTAGGGAATTTTCAGCCTCCTGGTAAAGTTGGAGTTTAGACTGCTGATGACTTAAAAGCAAGTATGGAATACTGTAATGAAGTCTTGAGCTTAGAGAGTACACTGAACTTTGATTCTCAGAAATGGAAATAAAGGGTCTAAGCCTGAAGTCACTTTGAAGTTATGTTTGTAATGTTCAAGGCATTTAACATTTCTCTTTTATTCCCTAGTTGCCTGCAAATTTAAGGTTCACCTGCTATTAACAAAGCCTTTAAACGTAAACTAAAATTATAGACTTTTTTTTTGGTAAGCTAATGTTTTTAAGCTTAGATTTAGAAAGGCAGCCTTACCAACACACCTTGATGGAATTAAGGGAAGCTCAAAAAATTTCTAAGCCAGAATGCCAGTTTAATAATTTATAGGAAACAGATCACATCAAATCAGAGCTACTTCATTTCCCACTGTTAAATTTATCTGTATCAGTGCTCATATTCTGCCTTTCCTTTTGTTTCAAAGGAGGAACTGGCCCTACTCCTATTTAAAACTAGTCCTCACTTTGCAGTTGATTACTTTATCCACTCTCAAAAGACTCTGCTTCTGTGGTTATCCCATCTTTCATTTGCATTACTTGTTTTTCCTCCTTTTAATAATCTCCAGTCTAGAAACATACAAAATAAATCCCCCTCTCTTGACACCCTTCCCCCCCAAGCCACCATCCCATTTTTCTGTTCCCTGTCACTGCAAAACTCAAGTTACCTGTGTGTGCTTCTTCACTTACAAACCTACGCTCCCTTTAACTTGCTTCAACCAGACATTTACCAACTGTACTCGACGGAAACAGCACCACTGAGGTTTTCTAAAAGACAGTCGTTTTGCAAAATCCATCATATTTTACATCTCAGCACATGTGGCACAGATAATCATTTGTTTTTGAAACATTTTCTTTGGCTTCAAATACACTATTAATCAAAAAAATTTTTCATGTATTTCTTTTCTGGATTCTCAATGGGTTAAACCACCCTCATGACCCTAAAATGACAGCAGTTGTCTCTATCAAAGGTGAACAACCAGATACAAAAAGGATGAAAGCACCATTCAAGATCCCAGTGTTCTCACAAAACAGTCTACAATTTTGTGTTTGTAGTTATGGTGCCCCTTGAAATATGCAAGTTTCAAACAAGGGTACATTTTGTTAAAGTAAGCATATTCCAAATAGTATGTGAGACGTTAAAAACAGAAAAGGCGCCAACGTATAAATTGACAAAAAATTTTTTGAAAACAAATATGGAAACAATTTACCCAACATTTATTCATAACCATTTGATGATCTAGGCCAAATTTAGATGGAAAATTCCCCAGAGAAGCAAGAACACTGAATAAGTGATCAAAATTTTCAAGCTGAGTAGACAATAGCCTAAAACTATAGGTGCAGTGTGGCACACAGTGTGGGTCTTAAATATTTGTGAATCTAATTGAGCCAACGTTAATCTCTCTATGGCTTACTATTTAAAATTGTTTCTTTTTCCATTACCTTTTTAAAACACTTGTTATTTACTCTGCATTGAGGATATAAAAATCGGGTTCCCTGCTCTTAAGACACAAATTAACTTCCAGTATAATGTTGTAATGATCCAGCAATGTACAAGGTGTCCGGGAGATAGGAGCAGAAGCACCTCAGTCTCTTGAGGAGTCGGGAAGCCCTTCAGGGGAGACCAGAGATAACCCTGTTTAATACACCCGGAGAGGAAAGCATGAGAAGAGTCACACGGGTTAGTTAGGTGATGAGCTTTGTTATCACAGGCCGAGAAATTCGGATTTATCCTGAAATCAATGGGCAGCTACGGCTGGTTTTAAGCAGAAAGGTGGAATTATGCATTTTACAGGGTAGCCCACAAGGACGACTGTGGAAGGTGAAGCGAGAAAGGCAGAGCAGGAAGACCTGAATGCCAGCCAGCGAAGCTATTGGTTACATATGATACTGCATACTCCACGTGGTCGAGTGAAAACAAGGTTAACGGGGGAAAAATCTCAATCTTTTCATCACCCTCCTGCTCTGGATATAAATTCAGTCGAATATAACCAAGTTCTCATTCCCCAGCATTTACCGATTCCTGTTAAGTGTTGTGAAGTATACAGCCTTAAAGACAAGGCACCTGTCCTCAGCTTTTAATCCCTCTTTGCTGGTAAATTACAATACGAGGCCCCGTCAACAAAACTTTCTTTCCAAAGGGATCAGTCTTGTGACCTGCAGTAAGCTATCGGTACCGGTCCCCTCATCCTCCAGTTTGGGTCACTTAAATCGTGGCAATTAAGATAAAAATGTCGGGGGGTGGGAGGAGGGGAGCTGTTCGATTGCAGAGAAGCTAATGACACGTGCTCCCGGCCTGGGTCTCCCAGCTCTAGAGGCCGCATCCTTAGGTGCCGCCCGTGCTCCGCGCGCCCCGCCGCACCCCGCCGCAGCCCGGATTACCTTCCCCTTTCCGGGCTCTCCGGCCTCCGGCGCAGCCGCCATGGGGACAGTCGGCGCCTCCACCCCGCCCCGTCGCCGCCGCTGGCCGCCGTGAGCGGACGCCCCGCCCCGCCCTGGCCAGCCCGGCCCGCGCCTGCGTTCGCGCTGTCCGCCATTTTAGGGAACGTTTCCCAGTCTGCGCGGCGGCAGCACTGGCCGAGCAGGCTGCCTTTGGTGTGGCCGCCATTTCCTTTGTTCAGTTGAACGGATCACGTCTTCTCTATCGGGGCTCTCCACAGCCCGAGGGCCTGGACCAGGGGAGGAGGAGAAGGACTCGTGAAGCAACCGCGCACCCGGACTCTTGGCACTTCGAGGCTGCGCCTTTTCCCGCCCCCGCCCCTCCTCTCGCCCCAACCGCCATTTCTGTGGTCCGCGCGCGCGCGCGCTCGCTCCCGTGCGTAGGCGCTGGGCGCGCGCGGCGGGGCGGCCGGGGCCGCGCGGAGGGGGCGTGCGCGCCGCCGCCGCTTTGTCCTGGGAACCGGAGCCCCCACCCCCGCAAGCCCACGGCCCGGAAGTCGGCCCGTACTGGCTTGCGGCCCGCGTCCCCTTCGTGTCCTTTGTCTTCCCGCCCGGGACGAGTCCTGGGCGACCCCGTCAGCTCCACCCAGCGCCAGCCACCGTTTCGCCCCGAGCGAAAGTGTGGTCCAGCGCTCACACCGCTTACTCCCTGCTTTGGTTTCGTCAGGGAGGGGCTTGAAAGTAGCGCCACTCGGTTTGCCTGAAGGAGACTGGGGACAAAATGGAGGGAGGACCTTGTCAGTGAAGACGCGTTAGGACGTTTGTGCCCGCCGTGCAGGCGGGGAAGGCAGGCGGGGTGAAGTAAAAAAAGGCCTGCGACACGCGTTTTTGAATGTTAGGTAGTGTTCCATGTATACTGCACCCTAGGGCTGCGACTTAGCGTGAAATCTGCGTGTTGGAGACAGCAGTCGTCTGGTGTGAGATAGGGCTTGACCGCTTTCTCAGCCCTCTAAGTCAATACAATTCCTTTTCCCGTCTTTTTTTTCTATGCACCGTAAGGAAAATGTCCCTGTCAAAGCCATAATTATGCCTCCTTTGTTTATGTACCTTTATATTTCAAAGTATATTCCTGGGAAAATGTTCAAGCTTTAGAGTGTGTCATTGTGCAGAGTCATGCTGCTGTGCACACAGTAAGGGCTGGATAAGGTTCGCGGTGATTGTTTGCTATCAGCTGTCAGTGAGGTGTTTTCTTATTCCTTATGCTTTCATGATCATTTAATACCTTTCTACAGACCCAGTAAAACACAATTTACGACCTACGTGTGATTTTTTAAAAAAAAATAAGTGACTTTGGGGGAGATACTGCTCTAATATTAATTAGGAAGTAGAATAAATGTCACCCCGCCCACGATATCCTGCCAGTTTGGGTTTCTTACCTGGAAATCTTGCGCTAACTATGCTTTGAACTCTTGGTCTGGAAGGTAATATTTAAGGCAGTAATATTCCATAAAGGAGTGAGGAATTCTCTTGAAGTAATTCCTAATCATGTTGTAAAGGAAGGAGAACTGGAAAGTACCAGGGCCATCCTACTTTATTTTTTATTGTGACTTTGAAAAATTGCTAGGGTAAACTTAGGGTCCATTTCATTTGTCTTTGAAAACTATTTTCATACATTATTTCTTTATATTAAAATTTTTAATTTCACAAAAATGGCATGTTTGATTATTTTTTATTTTCATATTTTATAGAGTGAAAAGTAAAAATCTTTTTCACTTTAACCCCTTTTTTCTCCCCTATTTAAAGTAAACACAACTAACAGTTTAATACGACGTTTTCCAAACTGTTTTCTTTTTTCTCTTCTTTTTAATTAAAACAACCCTGGAATATAGGCTAAAAAGTAAAAGTCTCTTTATACCATACCTGCCCCCATACGAGTGTGTCTGTATATGACACATATCTAAATGGCTATAGTATGTAATTTGCATTCAACAATTTACTTTTTACCATTTAACACTATGTTATGGAAAAATTTTCATGTAATTATCTAAAGATTTACTCATTCATTTTAATGGCTGCTCAGCAATCCTTTAATCATTTTCCTTCTGATTGACCTAGAAAGTTTCATTTTTTTTCACTAGTCCAAGAAATGCTTCAATGAGCATTTTTATGCATATATCTTTGTGCACAGGTTCAAGTATTTCTGTAGGATAGATTTCTGGAAATGACCTGATTCAAAGGGGTATGTGCATTAAAAATTTTAATACATACTGCTAAATTGCCTTCCAAAACTACTGCCAATTTACATTCCCCATTATAACAATGTATGAGAATGCTTGTTTCCTCACATTTTTAACACTGCATAATATCATATTTAAAAATTTTTGTGTATCTGATGGGTGAAAAATGGTGTCTTGATTGCTTTTAAACTTTCCTGATTACTAGTATGGCTGAACATTCTTTCAGATGTTTATTAGTCATTCTTTTCCTAAAAATTTCCTAAAACTTTACTTACTTATTAACTTTGTTTATGGAGTCTTTCATTTTACAAACAACTTTCTATTTTGTTTTATTATATTTTTTTATGGAGTCCAATATGTCAGTGTTTTCTTTTATGGCTTTTGATCTTGTGTCTTCCTGAGGCCTTAAGGGCTTCTTGACTCCCATAATAAAAAAAATATTTGAAAATAATTGTCATATGCTTTCTCATTAATAATTTTGATTATCTCTTTTCCTATTTCTTAAAAGACCAACTTTTGGTATTATTGACCAAGGCTATTTTTTTCTATTTCATTTTATATTTTACATTTATTTCTATTAATGTGGTATCTATTTTGTTGTCTTTTTTCTATCTTTTTGAGTCGACTACTTAAGTTCACATATTCTCCATCTTTCTTGATTTGTAGCAAATGTATTTAAGGCTGTAAAATTTCCTCTGAGAATCATTTTATCATATGTTGTCACAGATTTTTGACAGGTAATATTCCTATCACCATTCTTTTCTAAATTTTCTATAATTTCAGCTTTTCTTTCTTTTCAAGTAAATAAATTTGGATATGCTTTTGGTATTAATTTTTAGGTGTTCTGTTTTACACTGTGGCCCATGTATTTCTACTCTTGGGGAATTTTTTTATTTGTGTGTGTGTGTGTGCTACCTAAGAGATCATTTTGTACATGTTCCATATGCTTTTGAAAAGAATGCATTCTCTATATTAGCATTGTTAAGCTTATTCATTATAGTACTATATACATTATAAATATATAAAATATATAACTATATGATAATCACATAAATTAAGTTTATTAATTGCCATTCAGCTGTCTTTTTGCATGGTAAGAGTTGTTTCATTGCAAGCAACAGACTGACTGTAGTTAGCTTAAAGAAGAAAGAAATTTATTGGGAAGACGTGGAGAAGCTCAATGAACTGATAAAGAGTTTAAGAGTCAGGTCTTTAAAAGGACAACATCCAGGACAGTCCCAGGGGTCTTGATAGCAAGAACTAAAGGAGTGGCTTTCCAGGATGACAGTGATGGCCTGTTCAGTCTTATTTCTACTATCGTGCTTTGCTTTTCAACCATGCTGTCTGCTGCAAGACTCCCTGTTTGTCTGGTATTGGATGCAGATGCCCCGAATGAGTGGGTAGTTTAGCACAGTGGGTTGAGTTGGGGCCAGAAAATCTCTTCTTTAAGAGTTCCTTCTCTCACGGTGGCTGTAAATCCCCTGGCACACGGCCCAGAGTGCCTGCTTTCCTCCTCTCATCTGGGAGAGAGTGTCTGGTGTCAATAATCCCACACTAGAAAGCTAATAGTTATCTGTAGGCAGCAGGATGGTGAGGGGTGAAATGGTTGTATCGTTCTGGGGATTTGGTGGGGCTGTGCTGGCAAACCCACTTTTCGAGGTTCTCTCTTAAGCTTGTGTGGGGTTGTGTTTTAATCAGGAATATTGTGTTTAATAATCAGTCTGATTGCATCTTCTCTGTATCGTTCAGAAGTTCCTAACTGTCCTGGTCTGCTGCTGGTGCATTATCCTGTCTTTCCAGCAGAAGTATCAATTTATTTTTATTTTTATATTCCTTTTCTCATTTCGATAGGTTTTGGAGGAAAGGGTGATAAAAAATTGGGTTCAATCAGCCCTCTGTAACCAGAAGTCTGAATTTTCCTGCTCTTCTTTCCTATTCGTGTGTGTCCTGTGTCCATGCGGGTGTGCACATGAGCATGTGTTTAAGTCTAATGGTACTATACGACTTGTAAAGAAAACCAGCTGTTTTCCACCACACTTCTCTTCGTTCTGAAGTTCTGCACCCCACAGGCAATGACTTTTATCTCTTTTGGCCCATTCTTCTGGTAGTTTACTTTCATATTTCTAACTAAAATGCTCATTCTCCTATTTCTTAATTTTTCAATTTTAGGCATTATCTATTGATAATGAAAATTTATCTCTTTTCTACTCCTTTCCCTTCCCCTCATCCTCTCAGTATGGTTGTGTCACATTTTAAGAAACTAAATACCCATTCAGCATGTACATTATTATGGCAGTGTAAATGGTCATAGCTGAGCCGTGTGGGGTACTATGATTTCATTTCTTTTCTTGTAAAATTTAAAATTTTTCCTGGAGTTAATAATTGCTTTGTTTGCTAAATTTTGTTAAAGCTAGCTCTTATTGACTCTTCCTTCCTTCCTTTTCTTTTCTTTTCCTTTTCCATAAGAGATTATCTAAATTTTAGCATATAATACTCATTTGGCTCATGGGACATTTGGCTGTTGGGACAAATGAGTATTACATGCTCTTTTTTTCCCCCTTACTAGCTCTAAAGAGCCAACTGTAGACATCTCTTGCCAACTCTGTGTTCAATGACTTTATCCTGGTAACTTAAATTTGGCTATGGTGGAAGTATTTATGCCATACAAGTCAACAAATGCTACAAATCAGTGCTTCTTTCTTTTTTTTTTTTCCTTTTCAAACAGGTGGTTTACCAATATACCACTGAATGCACCTGTCATTGATTTTTCTCTCAAAATTCTCCTACAGAGTCATAAAACTCTCCACAATATAGTAAAAAACATTGTATG